TCTACCGGTAATTCGTATCGAGCTACCGGTAGTTTGGATAGACTGGCAATCTGCTACCTGTTGAGCTACCGGTAGTTCGGAACTACTGGACATTTACTACTTGTTGAGCTACCGGTAGTTCAGATCCACTGGACAACGTACTACCGATAGGTCCTGTACAAATTTACCTATTTCCTCTATTTTTCATTTCAAACCCATTCCAAACCCTTCCAAATCCAACCCAAGCTTATTCAACATGATTTTGTACATCAAACCTAGTTGATACAAGTCCTATTTCCACAATTTCATATATTTGCAAGCTAAACTAAGTTTTAACTGTTATTTTCCTCGAATATCCATATTAACATTTCCAAAAGAAATAATAAATTGCTACATAAACCTACATACATATATAAAGATAAAAAGGGTGGGGTTTACAGGATTTCACTCCAATAATCATTACCTAGTTATTTTCCAATGTTAAAAATATTCCATTCAACAATCATGTTACTAAAAGAAAGCTTCGTCACCCCATTCTTACAATTAATCAATGCATTAGATGTAGCAAGTAATGGTTGACCTAATACGACAGGAATTTGAGTGCCACCATGTAAAAATAGTTATGTGTCTAACACTATGAAATCTATAAGGAAGAAAATTTTATCCACTTGGACAAATATATATTCAACCACTCCCCTAGGAATTTTGATAGATCGATCTGCCAATTGCAATGTAATATATTTGGGTTTAAGCTCACCTAAAAATAACTGTTGAGAAATTGTGTATGGGAGTAAGTTGACACTTGCTCTAAGATCATGCAAAGTTTACTCAACCTTGAAGTTCCCTATATTACATGAAATTGTTGGACAACATGTATCTTTGTGATAAGAGCATAATATTGCATATTTCATGTCTCATATCATTCATCTTAGCTATTTTGGTTATTTATTTCCTTTTTTTTAGCTTAGTTTTGTGTTTTATGGAGAGTATTCACATTTGTAGGTAAATGAATTTAATAGTGAGGTTTTATACTCATTTTGATGCTATAGAGGGCTTTGGGAATGAGTTAGAAGATCCAGGAGTTAAGCCAAAAGCATTGCAACTGTAATTGAGAAAAAGACCAGTTCTACTGGTAGGTTTCCTATTAGTTACCAGTGAGTAGATTTAGGTTCTACTAGTAGCAATTAATTCCTACTGATAGAAGTGAAACAAGAATTTTTCTACTTAGTAGGTCATTACTATGCTACTTGTTGGTCCAAAATAGAGAGCTATTCAATCAGTAGCTGTGAAGAGCTATTAGTTCGTTATAGACAAAAGATTTGTTACTGGTAGGTCGAATTGCGCTTCCTATCAGTTCATCTGTGCATTACTTCAACGAGGAATCCTTTTGAAAACCTATCTGCAGAGATTTAAACGGACTATGATTGGTGAAAAAATAAGAGGGTTTTTACGAGATATTTACCTATAAATACCCAAGCCAAACCAGAGAAGGAGATCTCTTGAGACGTTCTTTGATTTTTCTATTCTTTGATTAGCACAAAGCATTGCATATCTTATGTACATTTACATCCCTTTTATACTTGCTTTTGTGGGTAAAATGAGCGGATTTGCAATGTTCGTGGTATTAATGGAGTTTCGGTATGTTTTCAGGTAAAAGGTGCTTAAACGGTGCTTGTTAGGACCTATCATGGTGCTTGAGATAATTGAAGATGAGATGGTGGCTTAACGATAGCTTGAAAGGTGGAGGAACCAAGAATTTAGCAAAACAAGGGAAAACCTACCGGTAGGTTTTGGCTACTAGACCTGCACCTACAGCAAGCCTATTGATAGATTTTGCTCACCGGAGTAAAACCTATCGGTAAGTTTCCATTGACCTACCGATAGGTTTTACTAAAAAATGCCAGATTTTGCATATCAAGCTCTACAACTTAGGGGGTCCTACCATTGGGTCTCTCACTTGTCCCTGACACTTCTTACACACAGACATCCCCTCCTCCTACCCTAGCTAGGCTTGGACATAAATGAGGAAAAAGAGAATGGGTAAAGCCTGGGAGTGCAAGCTAAGCCTATGCTAGCCTGCCAAATCCATCCATTCAGCCCCCTATTGATGTGAGGCCCATCACACAGACCCAAGGACCTCTATATACATTTTTTGGCAAGCCAAATTCACCATTATGGATATACATTGCAATATAGAGAGAGAAGCTCCAAGGAAAAAGATGAAGTTCTATAGAGAAAAGTTGATATTTTTGCATTTTCTTCCATCCTTTCACTTGTAATTTCTTGTAAGACTTGTTTAAGCTTCATTTAATGTATTTAATGTGATTTATTACAAGCACATTTTAAGTTTAGTCTTACATTTTGGATTTCACCATTAATGCATTTAAGTTCTTCATTTTCAAGCTTTAAAATGGTTATTGCATATTTCTCTTCATAGTTTATGTTTTCTTGCATTAAGATAAGTTCCAATCTTCATTTCTTCATAATGTCTCTTTACATTATGCATGTATTTCCCTTTAGTATGAGTAGCTAAATTTTATGCTGACTAATCCAAGGGAAAACTCCTCTTGGGTATGCCATTTCAACTCATTTTCTTTCCTCCTCATAGTGTATGTTGATTCGATTTGACTAGGTTGAGTGTGGATGTGGTTGTTTGTTCTTGATACACCAAAGACTTGTCACAGGGTATGGTTGAATCCTCATATCCATTTTAGTCCCGCGCTTTCTACGAATCAATCGAACATCTAGACACCATTGGAATAAGGTCTCGAGTTGATTTGGTATTCTCATTGGAATGACAGCTTCAGATTAGCCAACCCTTGTTCCACTTCATTTTAAAGCAACATCACAATCACCAAAACTCAAACTCAAAGATTTTAACACTTTACCCTTTTTCACTGAAATCAATTTCAACACGATTCACCTTCTTCCTTAAGGAGACAACCTTGGAATATGATTTCGAAGTAAAACAGAACACTTGAAAGTGTCTTTGCGCTTGAGGAGCACTTTTGTTCACACGCACACACACATTTCATTCCACACACCCGTTTCCCATTTTTTGCATTGAACCCGAGTGAGAGTGACACTCACCAACATATATAAGGCAGATACACACGGGTTCATGTTCGGAGATTAGGGAATACGACGAATAATACCAAGCATTTCTAGCTCTNTCTGCCAAATCCATCCATTCAGCCCCCTATTGATGTGAGGCCCATCACACAGACCCAAGGACCTCTATAGACATTTTTTGGCAAGCCAAATTCACCATTATGGATATACATTGCAATATAGAGAGAGNCCTGCCAAATCCATCCATTCAGCCCCCTATTGATGTGAGGCCCATCACACAGACCCAAGGACCTCTATATACATTTTTTGGCAAGCCAAATTCACCATTATGGATATACATTGCAATATAGAGAGAGAAGCTCCAAGGAAAAAGATGAAGTTCTATAGAGAAAAGTTGATATTTTTGCATTTTCTTCCATCCTTTCACTTGTAATTTCTTGTAAGACTTGTTTAAGCTTCATTTAATGTATTTAATGTGATTTATTACAAGCACATTTTAAGTTTAGTCTTACATTTTGGATTTCACCATTAATGCATTTAAGTTCTTCATTTTCAAGCTTTAAAATGGTTATTGCATATTTCTCTTCATAGTTTATGTTTTCTTGCATTAAGATAAGTTCCAATCTTCATTTCTTCATAATGTCTCTTTACATTATGCATGTATTTCCCTTTAGTATGAGTAGCTAAATTTTATGCTGACTAATCCAAGGGAAAACTCCTCTTGGGTATGCCATTTCAACTCATTTTCTTTCCTCCTCATAGTGTATGTTGATTCGATTTGACTAGGTTGAGTGTGGATGTGGTTGTTTGTTCTTGATACACCAAAGACTTGTCACAGGGTATGGTTGAATCCTCATATCCATTTTAGTCCCGCGCTTTCTACGAATCAATCGAACATCTAGACACCATTGGAATAAGGTCTCGAGTTGATTTGGTATTCTCATTGGAATGACAGCTTCAGATTAGCCAACCCTTGTTCCACTTCATTTTAAAGCAACATCACAATCACCAAAACTCAAACTCAAAGATTTTAACACTTTACCCTTTTTCACTGAAATCAATTTCAACACGATTCACCTTCTTCCTTAAGGAGACAACCTTGGAATATGATTTCGAAGTAAAACAGNAAAGACTTGTCACAGGGTATGGTTGAATCCTCATATCCATTTTAGTCCCGCGCTTTCTACGAATCAATCGAACATCTAGACACCATTGGAATAAGGTCTCGAGTTGATTTGGTATTCTCATTGGAATGACAGCTTCAGATTAGCCAACCCTTGTTCCACTTCATTTTAAAGCAACATCACAATCACCAAAACTCAAACTCAAAGATTTTAACACTTTACCCTTTTTCACTGAAATCAATTTCAACACGATTCACCTTCTTCCTTAAGGAGACAACCTTGGAATATGATTTCCAAGTAAAACACAACACTTGAAAGTGTCTTTGTGCTTGAGGAGCACTTTTGTTCACATGCACACACACATTTCATTCTACACACCCGTTTCCCATTTTTTGCATTGAACCCGAGTGAGAGTGACACTCACCAACATATATAAGCCAGATACACACATTGAGGGTTCATGTTCGGAGATTAGGGAATACGACGAATAATACCAAGCATTTCTAGCTCTGTTGTCGAGGAAGGCAAAGCGTTGAATTGAGAAGTTGATTTTCGGACAACGGAGGTAAGTCTCGTGATGTTCATCATGGATTGAGGTACGTTGCTCCTTGTATATAGTTTTGTTTGTTTACATTTTCATTCGTAGATAGTTTGTTGTATGTGGGGATAGGATGAACAAAATTGATTAGTTAGGGAACCCTTAGGCTCCAACATGAACATTAACCAAGACCCACTTGAGGATGCGAGTGACAATTTTGAGAATGTATGTGCAAATTTGAACATTCAAAGGGGTGGGAGAGTGCAAGATGCTAGAATGCCTAATCCATGAATGCCAGGTCTTTTGAGTGGGGTGCCATTGCTTACCTCAGCTGTCCAGCCGGACTGTTGGTCCTGCCCACTCTAGCTCTGCCTCTAATGCTACTCGATTTCCAAAACAAGATTCAGAATTCGAAGAAGAAGAAGAAGGCCTGGCTTTCGCTACCTCTGTTACCGCTAGAAGTAAGGTACGTCCATTATGAATCCGAGTGCTAGGCCGATACGGCATGCCTTGGTTGTGGAATGATGTGTGCTGTTGGAAGTGCAATTCAGGATGTTGCAAAATGTAACAACAAAAGGTGTTCAGTTCACACTGGCATCTGTCTTGAAAAAGTCTAGATCGGATTTCTATCCAGCAGGAGGAAGCTCTCTATTTCGATCAAAGACCCATCCCATGCTTGGTAAGTCTACCCGAAAGGAAAAGCTATCCTTCGTTCTTTTACGTCGATTGGCTTAACCCGATTCTCTTTCTATTGGAAATGGAATTGAAGTGAAGGCCCAAGACTTCCACTTCTTCTCTATCTTCCAACAATTACAATTGAATCCTGATTTGTGGTTGGCGAAAAGAGAAAGGCAGACAATTCTGCAAAAGGAAAAAAGCAGGATATTCCAGGAGGGCTTATTCGGTATAGGCTTACTTAGCCTATTGAGGGCTTGTCCTCTCAATCCATACTCTATTCTGGGGGCTTAGTCCTCTCAAACGCCGAGGGCTTGTCCTCTCAATCGCCGAGGGCTTAGAATCCCACCCTGTGGCAAGCTTTATAATTTAGGCTATGGAGAGAGACCCAGCTAGACCTCCCATCTTCCATCCCGAAAAAGATCTAAGATTCAATCGTTGATGCCCGGTATTTTTGCCTATCCGCCGGCTGGCCAATCCAAGCCTAGGCTGGTTTCAAAGTTGACAGGGAATCAGTTCCCTTGGCCTAGGTTCAGTTCACTCGAGATCAGTGCTCAATGCTCTACTCAATCGCCGCTGTTTCCTAGCAGGACTCTCCCCTACAGTATCGTCACCGCAGTAGAGTTTAACCACCAAGTTCGGGATGGATTGGTGTGGTTCCTCTACGCCTAGGACACCAGAATATCGAACCATGAACGAAGAAAGGCATGAGAGAAAAGCATATTGGCTAGTCGTAGCTTGTTTTGACCTGCGCTTTGAATGAAGAAAATCCGACTTGGTCTCCTATCGTCGTTTCGCTTTGGTCGTAGCTACACCTTGTTCGGTAGCTTCGTTATTTTCTACCGCAACAGTACGTTTGACTTGCATGTGTTAAGTATATAGCTAGCGTTCGTTCGAAGCCAGGATCAAACTCTTCTTTTGAGTATGATTGGGCCCTGCAGTGGTAGAACCTGGTGAACCGGGCGTACTAATTTACATTGATTCTCTATCCTGAGCTCTTTATATAAATATAAACCAACTCGATCAAAATCAAAGAAAACAAAAAGCAACTACATCAACAACCCGGGGCCAATTAACCGGCCCATCCTACCTACTAGCGCTAATAAGGTTGAAAGAAAGGATGCGTCGAGCAAGCAGCGCGACCCCCGGTTCTACTTCACTAAGCCCCGTCCTTGTACAAGGAGGAAGCCACTCCCACCAGCTTGAATCACCTTTTTTTAGTAAGCCTTTTTTTTAACACGGACGAAGGAGCTCAACAAAGGTGACCGGGCTGCTCATGATCAAATTTCGAAAACAAAAAAAAAGACTTCTTCCTTTCTTTCTTCTTTCTCAAAAGACCTTGATGGAATTGAGAGCAAAAGAAAATCAAACCCTACCCCTTCGAATGAATTGAAGAATGAAAAGTGCCGGCCCAAACTAGCTGGGATTTTGGGGGTCACCTCGCAGCCCTTTCCTCCAATCGAGTTGCAGTTGGCCTTGTTTCAGTCAGAATGAGTCCCCCGGACCCTCTCTTTAGTAGGTTTCTTAGTTTTCGCTCTCAAGAACTAGTACGCTCTCTTCTCGAAAGCCGAAGAGCAGCTAAACTAAGCAACTTGTTAAGAGATTAGGCGGCAGTTGAAAGAGCTGCTCGAAAGCCCCGTGTTTTTTAGTATTTTTCTAAAACTAATAAAGGAAAGAAAGAAGTCCGGCCGTTATGGCCAATTAAGCAAACCACGAGTAATTCGTCTACTTTGACTTACCGCACAACACCACTTTCTTCTTTCATATAGAAAAGAGAAAGAAAGGATACGCCAAAGAAAGATAGAGAAGAGAAGAGAAGAGAAGAGAAGAGAAGAGAAGAGAAGAGAAGAGAAGAGAAGAGAAGAGATAGGCTCAGCCGCATCCCATCCATCCACACAACACGATAGCTTAAGCAAAAAGTAGAGAGAGCTAAGCTATCATACAAAAAAAAAACTTTGGATAAGCAAGCGTACCTCCGGCCTACCATACACTAGTCTAAATCAATCTTTTATTTGTGTGTGTTCTTCAATTGGAAGGTGGTTTTGCTCTTAGGTATCTGCCCTGTCCTTTTCTTCAATTTCGGAACGCTCTAAATAAAGTATGCACGAAATTGAAGAAATAAGCGAGAACTTTTCATTTTGGTAACAACAATATAAAGCTAAATATGTTCCCATATTAGGAAATATATATATCTTTTTAAAAAAGCATTGTTTGGGTGGTCCACCAACAGGGACAACCTCCAGCAATTGAAAGAAAGTTGTGAACGGGCAAAATGAGGATGTTTGACACCTCGATTGTCCCGAAGCCCTCTCATGCGAATGAAATCAACTTAGCCAATGTTTTGTCCGGTTTCACTGAAGGAAAAATGAAAAAAAAAAATAGAAAAGATACAAAATCACTAAAAGAAGATGAGCAGAAAAACTTCTTAGATACCATTGACCCCGGTATCTAANACATTGGATAAATTTTGGTCCTAAATCATTGGTTCACCAATAATAGTCTATATTGATCACTCTGCTTTGAAGTATTTTTTTTTTCTAAGCAGGATGCCAAATCGAGACTCATCAGGTGGATCCTCCTACTCCAAGAGGTCAATTTGATAATCAAAGATAAGAAAGGAGTGGAGAACGTGGTGGCGGATCATTTATCCCGACTGGTGGTACAAGAGCCCGATGAGCACATTTTTATCCCTGATTTTTTCCCTGAAGAACAATTACTTTCGATTCATTATGTTTGTCCCTGGTATGCTGACATATGTAATTATCTTGCAACAGGACAAGCACCACTGCACTGGAGACCGGAAGATAAAAGGAGGTTTATGGTGGATGTGAAGTACTTTTACTTCGATAACCCATACCTGTTAAAGTACTGCCCTGACCAAGTCATGCAAAGATGCGTACCAAAAAATGAGCAGTGGGATGTCCTTGTTTTTTGCCACTTGGAAACATGCGGTGGTCACTTCTCTTCCAAAAAGACATCGACAAAAATTCTACAATCAGGTTTTTATTGACCCTCCTTGATAAAAGACTGTTTCATTTTGTAAAGAATGTGATAGGTGCCAAAGTTTGGGTAGTGTGACCCAAAGGAATATGATGCCCCTCTCCCCTATTCTTTTTATAGAGATATTTAATTGATGGGGCATCGACTTCAGGGTCCCTTCCCTATGTCATTTGGTACCTATACATCCTACTGGTAATGGACTATGTGTCCAAATGGGTGGAGGCTATCCTGACCAAGACCAATGATCACCAGGTCATGCTCAAATTCTTGAAAGAGAACATATTTTGAGGTTCGAGATACCTTATGCTATGATAAGCGATGGTGGATCGTATTTCTGTAATAGGTCATTTGCATCTCTTATGCATAAATATGACATCACACATAAGATATCCACCACATACCACCCACAAACCAATGGCCAAGTCGAGTTGGCCAATAGGGAGATCAAGAATATCCTAGAGAAAATGGTGAACCCGAATAGGAAAAATTGGTCATTTAGACTAATCGGTGTCATATGGGCTTACTGCACCGCCTATAAGACTGTCTTAAGTATGTCTCCCTACTGGCTTGTCTATGGAAAGGCTTGCCATTTGGCTATTGAAATGGAACACAAGGCCTATTGGGCCATAAAGACCCTAAACTTCAATTTGAGAATGGCCAGAGAACATAGGAAGCTTGAACTGAATGAGTTAGAAGAGATTCAAAGAGATGCATATGAGAGCTCAAAATTTTCAAAAGAGCAGGTTAAGATCTTTCATGAAAAATCCACTGTGAGGAAATCATTCAAGTCTGGCCAAAAAGTACCCTTATACAACTCTCGTCTCTCGATCTTTCAAGGGAACTCCAATCCCGTTGGGATGACCTCTATCTTGCCAAGGTGGCCTACCCCAATGGACCCGTGGAAGTCACAAACCCACCCTGAGGATGGGAAGACATTCAAGGTCAATGGCCAAAGCTTAAGCCATTTTTTGAGGGTTTTGAAGGACAAGGAGTGGAGGAGGAATTGATGGATCCGGTTTACTCGGAATTGTTAGAGGAGTAAATGTTCTTATACTTTTTAGTGTACAGTCATTTTTATTTACTTTAACTGTTCATGTTACTTACTTTATCCTTTCGTATAGTGCTATTTTTCTTAGTCGNTTGGTACCTATACATCCTACTGGTAATGGACTATGTGTCCAAATGGGTGGAGGCTATCCTGACCAAGACCAATGATCACCAGGTCGTGCTCAAATTCTTGAAAGAGAACATATTTTGAGGTTCGAGATACCTTATGCTATGATAAGCGATGGTGGATCGTATTTCTGTAATAGGTCATTTGCATCTCTTATGCATAAATATGACATCACACATAAGATATCCACCACATACCACCCACAAACCAATGGCCAAGTCGAGTTGGCCAATAGGGAGATCAAGAATATCCTAGAGAAAATGGTGAACCTGAATAGGAAAAATTGGTCATTTAGACTAATCGATGTCATATGGGCTTACTGCACCGCCTATAAAGACTGTCTTAAGTATGTCTCCCTACTGGCTTGTCTATGGAAAGGCTTGCCATTTGGCTATTGAAATGGAACACAAGGCCTATTGGGCCATAAAGACCCTAAACTTCAATTTGAGAATGGCCAGAGAACATAGGAAGCTTGAACTGAATGAGTTAGAAGAGATTCAAAGAGATGCATATGAGAGCTCAAAATTTTCAAAAGAGCAGGTTAAGATCTTTCATGAAAAATCCACTGTGAGGAAATCATTCAAGTCTGGCCAAAAAGTACCCTTATACAACTCTCGTCTCTCGATCTTTCAAGGGAACTCCAATCCCGTTGGGATGACCTCTATCTTGCCAAGGTGGCCTACCCCAATGGACCCGTGGAAGTCACAAACCCACCCTGAGGATGGGAAGACATTCAAGGTCAATGGCCAAAGCTTAAGCCATTTTTTGAGGGTTTTGAAGGACAAGGAGTGGAGGAGGAATTGATGGATCCGGTTTACTCGGAATTGTTAGAGGAGTAAATGTTCTTATACTTTTTAGTGTACAGTCATTTTTATTTACTTTAACTGTTCATGTTACTTACTTTATCCTTTCGTATAGTGCTATTTTTCTTAGTCGCAGATATTGGTATTTTGTCAAAGCTCAACTACGAGGTGTTCTCTAATCCAACTCATCTTTTTATAGTTCTTCATTGTATATCATATCTTTTTTGTTGTATTGAGGACAATGCATGAATCAAGTTGAGGGGGGTGAGGTGCACCATTTGCATGATACACCAATATTTGTGGAGAATTTTTGTTGATAATACAATTTTTTGTGGTGAAGAGTCACCTGTCACATATCATACAGATTTTTGCTCACAATAGTCACAAATTATGTGAAAATCTTGAATTTTTTGTGAAATATCTCATTGTTGACTTGTATTCCCTTATTAAGAGTACTTTGGGTTTGTTGATATGTTGATCTTTGTTTTGAACCCTGAGCACATGAGCACATTATAGAAATTTGTCCTATGTGTCTGCTTCTGAACTCAACCGTATGTTCTCCTTGAATGTGTAATTTTGGCAATTTACGGATTGGATTCATTTTTTAGGCTTGACATAAATAGTGGTGATGAGTAAGGACCCATGAGAACTTTAGTGCTAACACTTTTTGAAGGAAATTTACATTTACTCGAGGAACAAT